GAAAAATGCCCTAGGTAGTTTGATGGGAATTGCATTGAATCTATATATTGCTTTAGGCAATATGGACATTTTAACTATATTAATTCTTCCTATCCATGCAAGCTCCAATAATTTTTGATGGGTGATCAAACTTGTGTGTGGTCTCGCATTGTCACGATGGAACACAACTCCTATACAATTAACAAGATCTGGATGTTTCTGGATGATGGATTCATTCAAACTGCCCAATTGCCAACAGTACACATTCAAATTGATTGTTTGGTTCCTTGGTAGGAGCTCAAGAAACACATCTTTAAAATCCTACCACACTGAGAGCATAACCTTCCTCTGATGAGTGTCTGCTTTTGATGTCGTTTGAGGCAAATTATCACATCAGGATCAAGACTGTTTGTGCACCACATTGTTGTAAACAATCCACTTCTCATTACCAGTTATCAGTCACTTCAAAAAAGGATTGTTTTCCTCACGTTTAGTGAGCATATTGCAGATGTTTTTACGCGCTGTCAAATGAAGTTCTTTGAGTTCATGCAGAACCCAAATATCGAGCTTGCTTACGTATCCCAGCTTCTTCAGGTGGTTGTGAATGCTTGAATGATGGATGTTCAATGTTTCTGCAATCTCTTGTGTCATGTAACATGGGTTTGACTCGATCAATGCCTTTATTTTGTTGTCATCAACCTCGGCGGGCCTCCCTGACTGAGGAGCGTCGTTGAGATCAAAGTCACCAGCACAAAATTTTGTGAACCATAGTTGGCACTGATGTTCTTGTAGAGCACTGTCACTGTAAACTTTATGCAACTTTTCATAAGCTTGATGTGTGTTCTTCCCTTTATGGAAATAAAACAGTAAAATGTGGCAAAAATGCACAGCTTGGTCTCCCATATTCAACTTGTTGTAAAATCTCCAAAACTCAACCAAATTGTTCAATTTTTTTAGAATGAAGCTAGAACTGTCAGCTATTAAATGACATAGCAATAACATAGATGTGAATAACTCTAGTACTTCCAAAAATGAACTAGTGCAATCTGTTGCAAACATGCGTCATGACTTTTCTGAGAACCCAATATAACATATTATAATATATACTGATGATACACTATTATAATATATACAGAGACTCCTTGACTTACAGTGGGTTACACCCCAATAAACCCACTGCAAGTTGAAAATGTCATAAGTTGAAAATGCGTTTAGTACACTTAACCTACCGAACATCATAGCTTAGCCTAGCCTACCTTCAACATGTTCAGAACACAATATCCAAAAACACTGGTGACACAGTAGACTGTAGAGTGTTGGTTGTTGACTCTCATGACTACATGGCTGACTGGGAGCTGCGGCTCACTGCCTCTGCCCAGCATCACAAGAGAGTATCATACCACATATCGCTAGCCCAGGAAAAGATCAAATTCAAAATTCGAAGTACAGTTTCTACTAAATGTGTACCGCCTTTGCACCATCATAAAGTTGAAAAATCCTAAGTTGAACCATCATAAGTCAGGAACTGTCCATCTTATAATACATTATATTAATATCATGGTAATATATAGTATATATAAATATAATATAGATAAAATTGAGGCTGTGGAGGTTAAGTAATCCCCCCCCCGAAATCATGAAACTTACAAGATTTGGAACCAACCAAGACCAAGCTAAAAAACTTATGCCCTTAAACTCCACGCTAAATTGTAACTGCTGAGTTTCTTTTTACAGCACTCCAGTGAGCTATTTTGATCACAGTAAGTCCACAGATATGATCAATAAGAAATACATATATTTGTAGAGACATTTCATGAGAAAATATTCCCCATGAAAGAATCAAAGCAAAGATTCCCACGATCCTGAGTACACTCATGTGCACGCATGCACACCCTGGATGCCCATGGAGAGTGAATGGCTCCATCCTTGTGCAGACAATGGGGAAGTGATGGCCTGAGAAATACTTCACAATCCTCTGAAACCCAACATCCCCTTACTGAGGAGGACTTTCTGCGAATTACAGATACCAGCCAGGGCACTACAGCTTTGCAGAGGTGCCTACTGTTTCATCAACAATCAAGAAAAGTTCCAGAAGAAAGGAACAGTGTTGGCCCCCACAGGCAGTGCCAAGAATTTGCTGTGGATGCAAGGAGCACTTCAGGTATCTCCTAAGATGTCACCATCCTCATAAGTCACCTTAAGGAAGGGAGACAGAAAGACTGGCCTCCGAAACTATTAAGATACCTTTGTTCCCCACTGGCAGCAAATTCCTGCCTAGGATGTTCATTGCAAAGAGTGAATGGCACTATGTCAATGCTTTGATAGTTTTTCCTCTTTATCTGGGATGTCATTGATTTATTTAT